TATTGAAACTTTTAATAGAGCAAATAAAACATTTGAAGAAGTGCTATCAGGACCTAAAAAAACGACAGTTGGTTTGCCACAAGGGAGTATTCTCGGCCCCCTCTTATTCTTAGTATACGTAAACGAACTCCCAAATATCGTTTCGCACAAATGCATCAAGTTTGCTGATGATGCCACTATTTTTATACAAGACAAGCATAATGTTAATTTTGAAAATAATGTAAATAAAACACTAGAAATAGTAGTAAAATGGCTTAAAAATAATAATTTGGACGTAAATTTAACAAAAACTAAAATAATTCAATTCAAAAACTATAAAACAAAATCACTTATTTTATAATTTAAATATAACAGCAAATAACACTAAAGTAGAAGAAGTAAACAACATAAATTTTCTAGGTGTAGAAATTGATTGTAACTTAAATTGGAAAGCACATATCTATAAAATAAATAAAAAAATATCCAGTTATTGTTACGCTTTATCGATCCTAGCTGAAACTACTTCCACTAATGTTACTAGAGCAGCTTATTTTGGTCATGTGTACCCACTGCTGACTTATGGTGTTATTTTTTGGGGAAACTCGNTCCGAAATATATCGTAAACTTGTGATTTTATAAGAATTTCAAATATTTGTCGTGTTTTTACTAAAATTTTCATCCAAACCTGTGTTAATTTTTATTTAGGTACAAGAGTTGCAGGCCATGCTGAACATACTTTGTTGGGGGCCACGTCAGTCATTTAAAATAGGAAGTAACGCATTAAATGTGCCAGGCGGCCTACTGCGGTCGTTTGATTTAGATGCTTCAGTGTCAGGCTCCAGTGACTGACATGGCCCGAATAGGTTGCATGTTTGTCAGTCACCGGTGACTGTCATGGCAGCCTACGTGTTAATAGAGCAAGTAAAACATTTGAAGAAGTGCTATCTGGACCTAAAAAAACGACAGTTGGTTTGCCACAAGGGAGTATTCTCGGCCCCCTCTTATTCTTAGTTTACATAAACGAACTCCCAAATATCGTTTCGCACAAATGCATCATGTTTGCTGATGATGCCACTATTTTTATACAAGACAAGCATAATGTTAATTTTGAAAATAATGTAAATAAAACACTAGAAATAGTAGTAAAATGGCTTAAAAATAATAATTTGGACGTAAATTTAACAAAAACTAAAATAATTCAATTCAAAAACTATAAAACAAAATCACTTAATTTAAATATAACAGCAAATAACACTAAAGTAGAAGAAGTAAACAACATAAATTTTCTAGGTGTAGAAATTGATTGTAACTTAAATTGGAAAGCACATATCGATAAAATAAATAAAAAAATATCCAGTTATTGTTACGCTTTATCGATCCTAGCTGAAACTACTTCCACTAATGTTACTAGAGCAGCTTATTTTGGTCATGTGTACCCACTGCTGACTTATGGTGTTATTTTTTGGGGAAACTCGACTAATATTCAGTCAACATTTATCCTACAAAAGAGATGCTTGCGTATTATTTATAACATGTATTCTGATGAAACACTTAGAACTGTATTTAAGGATAAAGGATACTTAACGCTGACGAATATCTATATTCTAGAAATTACAGTTTTCATAAAACAGAATACCGAGTGGTTTCAATGTAAATCTTCCATTCGTTCTAACTTACGTAGTAAATATATAAATGATATTTGTATTCCTTCAGTTAATAGTTATATTTTCTCTAAAAGTGTGCTATATACAGGTACTAAAATATTTAACCATCTACCTTCACATATTAAAGCATTGAAGCAACCTAAATTTAAATCTGAGCTTAAAAAATGGTTAACAATTAATGTTTTTTATAGTCTAAATGAATATTTTGGTACCAAAAATAATTAAACTATAACTTTATTACTGTATTTTAACTATTGCATGCCCGATATGGGTAACACTGTTGTAACTATTTTTTTTTGCATTGTGACCAGCACAAATTGTACACAGTTTTGGGCAATAAAGATTATTCTATTCTATTCTATTCTATTCTTGCGCCGGCGATGGCGATCTGCACGCTGTCAAGGACAGAATTTAAAAGTAAATTAAGAAAAAAGAATAAAGACGTCACTTTCAAACAAACGCAGAAAAATTATGGTTTTTTCATTTTGCTCTCTTCTTATACAACAAAATATTATGTAGAGAATCACACGCGTTGGTGTGATTGAAGCAAAAGTGGCCAAGCAGAATATAATCCTTACTTAAAGTCAGATATATTTTATTTTCGTTATCAAATGGTCCCATTCCTCCTTCTGACCTAAACCGACCAAACCCCAGTTCTAACTGCCGCACTATAAATAATTTAAGTGCGATAATAAACAATATTCCGCCGGTCAGATAGACCGTCCCAATTGGGAGATAGGGTTTACGAGACCCGCGATATATGGCCCATAAACAGGTGACGTTTGATGGCATTATCTGGCGTGATGGGGAGTTGGGACAACCCTGATATGGGGAGTTGGGACAACCCTGATTTACGGTGAAGGTTCCATCTTTTTGGGCACAATGAAACTATTGATTAAACTATTGTTCTAACTTGTTATTGCCAGACTTTCGACTTTTTCTTCGAAGTTAAGATGAACTAAGACACTCCGTCGAATAGTTTTCTATTGTTGAAAATTGCTTGAATCAAAGTCGTTTTGCAGCCAGCACGTTGTTGGCGTCATAGAAAGCATGTTATTGTTCATATTGTATACGAGTAGGTACTATTACTTTGTTGAAATTTCATAATTATTTAATTGAAATCTAATTGTCGTGAAATTAAACAAGTCTATGCCCATTTTATATAAGGAAAACAATATAACCGGCAATAAAATCGCCATCAACGCATGCCGTGGTTTGACCGTACTAACGATGGAATTGCATCATTAAAATTAGAGTATTAACGTGCAGCTCAGAGCATCAAATCAGTATTAAGTGATTGTGTTGTGGAACCAAAGCGGCTTTTGACGTATTAAGGTCATAGCAGACTTATCAACTCGGAAAGGGATTAACACCGTATCGTCTTTCGCGAGCTGTCATCGCCTTTCGCGCGATGTCAACCGCAAGGCGAAGCATTTACATTAGGCCCAGAACAGACGGTGAAACGCAACTGCAACGAAACTGCAACTTTGTGATGATTCTGATGAATGAAACTGAAACTGAAAGTTTCAAGCTGGTCGCGTCATGTGTGGTCTCTCAACGGACGCTATGGCAGAAACTTAGATGCAACTCAAAAGAAACTAGCAGTTGCAGTTTCGTTGCCTAGTTGCGTTTCACCGTCTGTTCTGGGCCTTACGGTCCGAATAAGTGTGCGTTGCAGCACTGAGTTTCATACAAAGAATTCTGACCGCATCGAGTTGATACGGTTATGATCCCTTTCCGGGTTGATAAGTGTGCTAAGTCCTTTAAACGTAAATCTAGTTCGACCAGTATTTCCATGAACGCTATGTTATAATGATACGTTTGATTTAGTCCGCTTTTATGCTATTTCACACTTGCTCAGTTCCGTGTAAAGCAAAAGCAAACCTAATGGAAATCATTAGGTTTGCTTTTGCTTTACAGGGTGTTAGGTAAATAAATAAATAAATAAATAAATAAATGGGTATATGACTAGCCCATGTTAACATGGTCATATAAATGGTATGGTGAACTCAGAAAATTTATATCTTCATTTTTATTATTTAAATTTTCATACAAATCTGAATTAATAAAATTTATTTTGTATGAAAATTAAAAAAAATAAAATCATGATATCAAATTTCTGACTTCACCATACCATTTATATGACCATGTTAACATGGGCTAGTGTCGGCTCATATACCCATTTACCTAACACCCTGTATACCTTCACTTGTTGCTGGCTTATAGAACTACAATAGTTGTTGCAATTCACGAAGGCGAGTGAGCTTTATTGTGTATTGGCTCGCTACTGTTTGTTTTTCAAAAGTTTTGATAGACATTAAACATTACAGTAAAGCTCACTCGCCTTCATGAGTTGCAAGAACTATACCTGAAATCCTGTTAAAATTCTCCATTTGCCTCTGATACATAAGAGAGGGGCAGATTCCTGCAGTGGCAGTGGAGACTAAATGACCTGATGATGAAGCTTGTACAAAACGTAAGAAAATTGACAGTAGGTATAATATAGAGACGTTATAAAAATACTTATCTGCGTATTGAAGCTCTTTTTTTACACTAACACTTAGTCTTATGCTTTGATAAAATGAATCGTCCAGCTGGGCTAAGATGCGCGCTGTGATAAAATCTTATCGATGATTTTAGACAGCAAATGTATGGGCTTATCGCGTAATATCGATAAAAGTTTATCATGGCGCGCATCCTACTAGGCCTACAGACGCGCAATTTCCACTGCTTTATTGTACCCACGTGTGGCTTAAATCATCTCAATTCGCTCTCACGTAGAAACCGTATCATTTCACAATATTCGGAACTCGCTAACAACATCATAGTGTAGTTTCCACAGGTTTAATGCAAACGTGTTCGCAAGTTACGAGAAATTTCAGGTATCACTGCTGTCAATACACGGCTCTGTAAATGCATATTTGGTCTGTGATGTTTGTTGTGATTTCTACTATTGACAGGTTTTGAAATGCAGGCATGCAACTGAATAAATCTTATTTCTGACAAGTCTATAAATAGGCCAGTAGAATTAGATTTTAAATCTCTCGCCTTCGTGCCGTTGTTGAGGACGGACGTGTGTTGTGTTGGTCTGGGATCTTGAAATTAATTTTAAAAATTTTTTGTTATTCGTAAAAAGTGCGTGGTTTCGAACCCGGAGTGCTGAGTGTTGACTGGTGCTTGGACGAGTCGGCGAACTGAGCAGTGACGTAACGGACGAATATAGTAAATGACTATAAGCTCCGTAGCGTGCTACGGCGCTCACTGGTGAACAAGTGCTACGAACGCTGCGGCATTTGCTACGGTCGTGCTACGACGCCTCTTGTTATTCCTTTTAAATAAGACTCATTTTTGCTTACAATGCCGAAAGTGCAACGCTCGCCTACGAAAACCAATAACGCAGACATTCAACGGGTTTTATCGAACCCAAATGTTGCAGAGGATAGTCAAAGTGAACCTGAGTGTCCAAAAGTCACCTCGAGATCTAAACGAAAGCCGACCGCTCAATCGGAGTCAAACCAGCAGTCTTTAGAGGAAAGGATTATGGATCTTCTTGCTTCGTGGAAAAAAGATCAGGACGCCTCCTTTGCCAAATTAACGTCAGATATCGCAGTTGTTAAACAACAGAACAAGGATATAAAAAAAACAAATCATGATATTGAAAAATCTCTCGAATTCCTAAATCAGAGCTTTGAAAATATGAAGATAACTATACAAAAAATGGAGAAGGAACGGACGGAAATTCAAAATCATGTTATTGAGTTAGAAAAAAAGATAGAAGATCTGCAGCGCTTTTCACGATCATCCACCCTGGAAATAAGAAACATGCCCTCAAAGAATAGCGAAACCTCTGAGGAGCTGATCAACACCGTCAACAGAACTTTTGAGGCAATCCAATTGTCTGTGAGCCAAGATGAACTTCGGGACGTCTACCGTCTGCCTTGCAAGAACGATCAGAACAGAACCATTGTGGTGGAATTTAGAACTGTCTTTCTAAAAAATAAAGTTTTGGAAGCCACTCGAAAGTTTAATAAAGGACGCAGCCCAGCTGATAAACTGAACACGGAGCAGATTGGCCTGGATGGAAGGAGGACCCCCATCTTCATTGCAGAACACCTACCTGGCAGCATGAGGCAGTTATTTTTTGAGGCACGACAGTTCGCTAAAACGTATAACTTCAAGTACTGTTGGACTCAGAATGGTAGGATTTTTCTGCGTGAGGAGGACGGTGTTAAATCGATCGTTGTTGGTTCCATGGCGTTTCTTAAGCAATTGCGAGAGCCTAAATAGTTTAAATAAGGTAAATAATGTGTCTTCACCCTCAGTCAACAACATATCTGATATTGCTAGAATTGACGTGTTGACCAAATATCTTTCGGTAACTACCAATTTTGTGCCACTATTATGTATTACTTTGATATATCAAAAACTACTTTTTGTTGGAGTTTGCTACCTGTTGGCATTGAAATCTGCTGTCATTCATCACTATTTTTACAAGCTTTTTATTACTTTTTCCTTTTGTTTCTATGTCTCTGGAATCCATAAGCGGGGAACTGTGGGCATGAATTTTCTGGGTTTTGGTTGTATGAGTTGTTGCCTTTCATTCCTTTTCAAACCCCGTGCACATTTTATAATGCTATTTCAAAATTGTAATGGAGAAAGAATTAAATGATATTTCTAAAGAACTCGACTCACTGGGTCTGAAACATTCCCTTGTATGTCACCCGGAACAGATCTCAACAGCACTCCAAGCCTGTACATCATCGCTTAACTTTTTACATTTAAATATACGTAGTATCAATCGTAATTTTGATGAGCTTAAGGTCTTTCTATACAACTCTGTACTATATCCGGAAATTATTATCCTCTCTGAATGTTGGCTCAGTAAAACGCCTACTCTACCTCAACTGGAGGGCTATAAATCTTATGGTACTGTCAAGAACTACAATCAAAATGATGGTGTAGTTATTTTTGTTAAAACGACACTTGAACACCATGTAGAGGAACCGGCATTTTTGGATGGTAGTTGTTTAGTATGTAATCTAAAAAAATACAAACTCACCCTAATTGGCCTTTATCGCTCTCCCTCTTATCGTGATCAACACAACTTCATTAGTAGCCTGGGTGATATCTTAACCACTTACTCTGCTAGCCAGAACATCGCAATACTAGGCGATATCAATATTGATATTGCAAGTGTTGAGTCTAATCTGCAATCAAATGATTATTTGAATCTTACTGCTTCATTCGGGTTAATTCCTACGAGCCTCATACCTACCCGGGGTAGTAGCTGCCTTGACCATTTTTTATTAAAATCAGCTCATAAAAGTACTACGCTAACGATAGATACTAATATTACAGACCACTTTCCTGTGCTTTTGAATTTGGGTACACATATAAAGACAACCAAAGGTAAAGTCATGAGATCTCAGCTTAATTTACCTGATGCAATCAATTCCGTGGCCTGCTGTGATTTTTCTCACATATTCAATATTAACGATGCTAATGGTGCTGCTGAGAAGTTTGTTGAACTTTTGGGTGACATAATAGAACAAAACACAACAAAAGTCTACACTAAGTCAAAACAGAGAATCTTCAAACCTTGGATAACGAAAGGTCTGCTTAAATGTATTAGGAATCGTGACAATATGTGTCGTAAAGTAAAGGCAAACCCGGAAAATCTCATTCTCAAAATAACATATATTAGATACCGCAATTTTTGTAATAAACTTCTGAAAAAACTAAAACGAAAATATGAAACTTCAAGGCTTGAAAGTGCAAAGAATAATCCCAAAGCCACTTGGAAGGTCATCAAAGACATAATTAACATTGCACCCAGAGATGGCCCTCCACTGGAACTACTGAAACTAGCATCCAACCCCTCTGAGTCTGTCAATGTAGTCAATAATCATTTCTCCAGCATTGGAAGGAAATTGGCTGAGAGTATTGCAGCGGGCTCAAACTCATCTCAGTGTTCTGATCCACCCCCCTCAGATTCATTTGTCCTCTTTCCAACAGATGAAGCCGAAATAGAAAGAATTATAAAGAATCTTCGCAAAGACTCGGCTACTGGCTGGGACGGGATTTCAGCTAAGCTCTTACAATCTTGTTCGGCCACTTTGGTACCTATCATAACTTATATTTGCAACCTTTCTATAACTAATGGAAAATTTCCTGATGTTTTTAAAAGAGCTATTGTACGGCCTGTGTTCAAGGGTGGAGACAGAGACAGTGTCAACAATTATAGGCCAATTTCCATTTTGCCGGCTCTATCTAAGGTGTTAGAAAAGGTCCTCAATAGTCGATTGCTCAAGTATTTAGAACAGAAACACATACTTGCTGATAATCAGTTTGGTTTCAGATCCGGCAGGAACACTGAGCAGGCTGTTGCATCCCTTATCGATAACGTCATCAATCGCATGGAAAATAATAAGAAATGTCTCGGCATTTTTATTGATCTAACAAAAGCGTTTGACACTGTGTCTGTTCCACTCTTGCTAAATAGGATGGAGAAAGTTGGCATCCGTGGGATAACTTTGGATATTTTTAAAGATTACCTTACCAATAGAAAACAAATTGTTAAAATAGATACCTTTTTGAGTGACAGTGCTCTTATTAACTATGGCGTTCCTCAAGGATCCATCTTAGGACCTACACTATTTTTAATTTATATTGATACTCTTTGTAAACTTCAACTTGCCAACTGCGCTATCTTTACATATGCTGATGATACCGCTCTGCTCATCCATGGGGATAGTTGGACTGAGGTTTATTCAACAGCTGAACAAGCACTCGGGGTTGTTATAAATTGGCTTTCAAATAATCTCCTGACATTAAACACTAAGAAAACTACTTACTTAACCTTTTCTAAAACATTAGCTTCGCAGCCTTCTAATCGTTTTCAGCTTAAAGCACACTCATGTACCAGTGGTCTCGGTTGTTCTCTGACTCAAATTAATAAACAATGCAACTGTCCAGTAATAGCCAGATCCTGCAAAATAAAATACCTTGGCATCCATGTTGACAGTCTCCTTACGTGGAAACCTCATTTAGAACAATTAACATCCCGCTGTCGTAAATTAATATATATTTTTAAAAAACTCCGATATGCAGCAGATTTCAAACTAATAAAAACTACATATTATGCACTCTGCCAATCCATCATCACGTATTGTGTGTCTGTATGGGGTGGCGCCACTAAGACTAGCTTGCTCCATCTAGAAAGAGCGCAAAGAGCGGTACTAAAGGTTATGACTTTTCGACCTTTTAGATTCCCTACATCTTTACTTTACGATGAATGTCAAGTGCTTTCTATTCGTCAACTTTATATACTCCAGATTATTCTTAGAAGGCATTCGACTCTGGATTTTAGTCCCAGTACAACAGGAAAGCGTCTGTCATATAAAGTTTGTGAAGTGTCTGGCTCTAAGAGCTCGCTAGCAAGTCGGCACTATCAATACCTTAGTGGTCGTCTTTATAATATTGCCAACAAGTACTGTAACATATACCATTTATGTAAATTTGAATGCAAACGCAAGGTGGTCGCGTGGCTTCTGACGAAGAACTATGATGAGACCGAACTTCTTCTCAATTATGGCTGAGGCCGAGTTGCATCACCTAAATTTGACCGTATTTGTGAAGTTATATAACCGGTGATTTTTGTATGAAGTTTGACACATTTTTGACGTTTGTCAAGGTTAGGGTAGGGTGGTGCAACCCAGCCTAAGTCTACTAATGTTAAAACATTTGTCTTTAGCTTGTATGTAATATTATTGCTTCACCTTCATTTTAGAGAGAGCCTTGGTACCCATAACACAAGTTAAATCTTAGCTTGGGTGCCAGGATTCATTCACTCAACATACTGTTTGTGTACCTATCTGGATTGTCGTAATCTACATTAATGACTGTGTTGTATGTTTTAGTGTAACACTTTATGTCAATAAAATTTTTATTTATTTTTTTATTTATTATTATTATAAATCGGAAATAATTCCTACAAAAGATTTTATTGCCTTAATGGCTTCATTGGTTGCCCATTAAGACTCTCCTAGGTTTTCGACTTCGACGGAGTTGTCCTTAAGTGCCCCCGAAAGGGGCGCTTTTTCGGTTTTCCGGTTATACTGCGTAAAAGACTTACCCTATCGAAAGTGGTCTTCCTGACGGTTGAAGGGCATTTAATCCTGCATTAAATAATATCAAATTCATATGTTTTGAACAAACCGTTCTCGTGCAAATGTTCGGCAAAGTAGAAAATATGTGTATAATTAATGACCCTCTCCACGTCCAATGGCTCGTTACCCGCAGGCTTCCAAGTCTTGAAAAGGAGCGCTTCAACCAGTGTAACCATATCAAGGCTTACGACCTGGATGCGCAGCTTAAAACAACCTAGCATCTTCTTGTAATAATTGCGATTTTATAACAAAAATATATTCTATTCTATTATATTTATCAATTATTTGTGTGTTATTATTGCAGTTTGTGTAGTATTCATTTTATGGAAACAGTTTATAATTTTGTTATTTGTAGTACCTACATTAATGAAAACTTCAAAGAACTGCGTTTGTATAGTGATAATTTACTTACTTGATAAACAAAGATTTACACAATCTTTAAAACCATGATGTCTTATTAAACATTGAATTTTAAATGTGGTGTACATTTAGTAACTAAAGTTACATTCGTGTTTGTTCCAGGTAAGATATCTCTTCTCTGCAGTCGGGTAAGAAAAAACATATTTCTTTTTCTAGCAGATTAATATTGTAGAGAGCACTCCCAGGCCCCTAAATAAAAATCGGCGAGCAGTAAAAGTTTTCAAATTAGAGGAGTGCTGCAGTGGTGACATGAAGCGCGGTCTTCGGCATGTATGCTTAGGGCTGCGACTTTTGATGGATAGCCTGGTTTTTTTTTTTTTAAAGAAATCAAAACGTATTAAAAACTGATCTAACTCTAGTTCTTCATCCTTATAATTAAACCCAACGCAAAAACATACAAAAAGAAAAAGTAATTTAACTAAAATAATATCGTATAGGTAAATAGGTAAAAATTGCCGGATTCTTTTAGGAGCTACGCTGACAGATGGGTCTGTTTTCAGAAATGCACCTTGTTTCTTAACATACAAACATTAAGATTTATTTTGAGACTATTGATTGGTCTAGAACTCTAGAACGCTCATCACGGAATCGGAGCCAGAACCTACAAAATGAGAGTCCATATTTAGCCACAAGAACATTTATTTGTATCAAGGTTGTGACAGCCCTAGTTCCACGTGCAACCTGCACTTGTGGCTTGTA